TGTTGTTGTAGTTTGTGGGCCTGTGGTTGTAGCGACGGTATTTACATGTAGTCATACAAATTTAAATTAACCTATTCTGAGTCACCATTCCCATATCAGTCCGTAATATGTTTATGTCTTCCCAATTCAAATATCATGTCATGAATTCATTGCAACAGTTAACACAAGAAGCTTTAGTAATTCTTGTGTTTCATATAAATTGCCCACTCAAGTAATCTACGATAATCTGTAGAGGTAAATAATTTGTACAGTAGAACCAAGACTGCTGTTAAAGATGAGTGCGTGCTGACCCAAAGCCAGCAGCCACACCCTATGCTTCAACACGTAACAACAGCAGCCATGTGCACTCAGGCTACAGCCTTCATATTTCCTTCCCATGTTTTTTCAGTAGAATTACTGTGGTAATTGTTTTGAAGTCTCTTTGTGTTGATAAGAGATCATACGTGTTCTCATTAGGATAAGGATTTGGTTTTTGTGTGGGAACATCGCCTATAGTTTTATATTGTTAAATGTTATATTACAACGTGTTTTAAGTCATTTTACAGAGAACTGTAAAAGTGATGTCAAGAGTAGTGCAACAAATACTTCCTCCTTGGAGTAATTAAGTTACATACTGCATTAAATACATTACATAATACCTTTTAATACTTAATATATCAAGTATGCTTTTAAGTAAAATGTTCTGTGTAATATATGTAATGCATTACTCTTTTTTCAGTAATTACGCAACACCGATACGGGCGGGAATTGATAAGAATTTTGCAATTGTGATTCTATTATTGTTATCACTTATCGATTCCTTATTCATTCCCTTTGGCTCCACTTCACGATCTGCAGACCATGTGGAGTGGAGAATAGTGGACCCAAACGCAGACAAAACGAAGCGTGGAAACAAACTTCATTTAACGTAACCTAACCCAAACTGAAAAAGAGCTGTTTTATTTGATGCTGAGCAAACCAATAACAAACAGTAAATGTCAACTCTACTGTGGCAGCATGGAGCGGAGAGAGTGTGGACCCAAATGCAGTTGATATCATATGGTTTCTCGTCTACTAAAGAATCAAGAGGCGGGTTTTGCTGCTTTAGGCAAACTAAGGCACAAGCTACTCATTTTAACTCCATTAGAGCTGGTGAAACTCCAAAAGGTGGTGGCTGTCCTTGACCCCTGCAGATATTTTTTAACTTATTGGTACTGTTTCTCCAAAAAGCTCTGTAGTTGACAATTATTGCGTAGATTAATAATTACTTTCTTGAACTGTCTACTACAGGTTTGTGACTGAGCTTCTTGGAGGTGAGACATGTGTCTCATGTTCAGTGGTTCTACCTGCTTTCTGCCACCTGCATCACACCATCGAGGTCTCCTTTGATGACTTAAACTACATGGTGAAATTTAAGACTGCCCTCACAAAGGACCTGTCCCAATGTGTAGCTACACTCAACCATCAGTGGCTCAAGATAGCTACTGTGCTTGACCCATGCTTTAAAGATTTAAAGTGACTTGCAAGGGGAAGAGGTTTGGACCAGCCTTGAGGCCCTGCTGCAGGAAAAGTGTAAAGATGCCACCACAAAGGAGCCAGCAAAGGCAAAGAGCCTCCTCCTCTCTTCATTGTCTTCAGACTCTTATTCAGATGAGGAAGCCCTGTGTAACAGGGCCCTGAGTTTGTACAGAACAGAATCCACCATTAGCAAGAAAGATTGCCCGCTGCAGTGGTGGTCCAGTCGAGCAGGGACCCACCCACAGCTGTCTGTCCTGGCCCACAAGTATTTGATTAGTCCTGCCTCTTCTGTCCCATGTGAGAGACTGTTCTCACTTGCAGGTCACATAGTAACAAAAAAGAGAGCTGCCTTGAGAAAATGTGAACACTCTAGTTTGTCTAAGTAACTGGCTGAAATAGATGGACAGTAAATAAGCATGGACGTACTGTGAGTCCAATGGGTTTGCTATGTTTTGCACTAAAATGTTTGATGATCACACTGTTTTAGCCTAATGTACAAAATAATTTTGGCTAAGGTTACTCAGAGTTTAAAGGTGAAGCTCTTCAAATACCCTTATGTTTCTGGCTTATTTTGTTTAAAAAGAAAAACTGCACTTTATGTTGACAGTTTTCATTATTATTTAAAGACAATACCATTTTGAAAACGTACTTAAACTACTTAAAATAGCACTTTATTTTTAAGTCTGCCCAATTTTGGCCAGGGATATTATTTTTGTTTCTCTGTTTTACAGTTTAAATATTTTCCCCCATAAATTAAAAGAGCTTGAGTTTACAATATTCATGTCCATGTCTATTATTTGATTCTGTTGCCCACTAAATCCCTTTTAAATAAAAAATAAATAAATTGCACTTTGGGGCAAATTTTCTTGTGCGATTAAATGCGATTAATCATGGTTAATTAATTACAATAACTTCTATATAGTAGAGTAAGATAAATATGGTACCCTAAATATTATTATTTGCTGTCTGACAACATCATAATGTGAAGTCTGGTTAAACTTTCAAGGGTCATATCACATTGTGGCATAGATAGCTGGCCAAAATTCATTGTACTGCATGAAAGGTCTCACTTCTATCCACATTTTCATGGAAAGCAACCTTTACCTATTATTCCTTCTGTAACACTCTGAAATAATCTCTTAATATAATTATTTTTACACTGAATTATATTGTTTCTTAAAATTGTAAAATAATAATAAGAAATTAGTTAATTGATTACAGTAATTAACAGAGCCGAAATGGATTTTCTCGGCCTTGAAAATGTTACAAGGTTTTATTTTATAGCTTAATGTTATGAGGGCTCAAAAACATTGGACAAAAATAGGAAATTTCAGCTTAGTAATTACATTTTAAGTTGTGGTAACTCCAAATACTTTAAAAGTATGAAGGCAATATTTTGTACTGCTTGTACTTGAATATGATAAGGCTGTATCAAAGCTGATTATGAGGGGGCTTAGTTGGAACCTTTGAACCTTTTTCAGAAATTAGTGATTTTAAATGGAATGATCCATGTGTGATGTGTTACTGCATACTGCATACTGAGTATGAGAGACACCACTCAAGAGAGAGAAGCTTTCTCTGTTGTCTCTCACTGTTTTTTTTTTCAAAGAAAAACTTTCAACAAGTATGCAAAATGTCCTCATCTCATCTATACCACACTCAAAGTTGTTACTACACCCACTTTTTGTAGAATTTTTTTTTTAAAAATGTAGAAATTTGGCTTAATCTTGCATCACTAAGTACAATTCACCTAGATTGTACACATTGAACTCAAGGTAATAAGTGCCTAACCATTAAAGTATTATAACAATCAGTGTTCTTACAGTCTACATATTGTCTGTAGCAATTATTTATGAGGGTATATATAGCTATGCTAAAGCAGTTCATTTATTTTGTATTGTCAGAGATTTACAGTTAACAAACAGTCAGGTGAGTAAACAACACTGAGACACTTAAGATTGACAACGTGCGGCACGGGTGAAAAGCTCAGAGCAAATCACACTGAACTGCAGTATTCGTTTATTTTTATAGGTTACATCGTCAATATGCAAATATAATCACATTTCCTGTTACGCAGGTCCTGATGCTGTCTGCATGCAAGCTGTGTGTGTGTGTGTCACAAAGTATGTGTGTTGCAAGTCAATTTCTAAGAATAATATAATGCAAGTCAACTTCTGCGGATATGTATTTCTGTGCTGGTTTCTTGTGGTAAATCCCAGTGTCACAGGGTCAGCTTCCTGTTTCTACAGAAAACTGTGTCTGGTGAAATATGTGTAACATAACTTTTGAAGCATAAGCAAATAAAACAATAAAAACTCCCTAACCTGTATCAACAGTAAGTTTAGCATCACTTAACTTACCTATAAGAAGCAACAAAATTGATATCATCAGTCCAACAGCCATTGTTTAATAAGTTAAATCTGTAAAAGAAACATATGTCAAGGTCATGCGCACAGATTAATAAACCAAAAAAAAAAAAAAAAAATGAGTTAAAAACGCAGGATAACAGTATTTTACAAAAATACAAAAGGTTTTGATCATTAACTGTACTCATCATAACACTTCTCAATAAAAAAAAAACTATGTATGACAATTTTAAAATAACATATGTAAAATAATTCATTAGGATTAGTTTAACAAGTTAGTGAAAAAATGAAAAGTCATATTCACAGTACATGAAATCTATTTTGTATATTGTACTTACCAAAACTGAGATCAGATGAAAATTTATTAATTCTCTTTCTGTTTTTTATCTCCTGTAGATATTCACCTCTTTGCTCTGTTAAACCTTATGTTCACACCTCTTGTGGCCTTATATATTTCAGAAGAGTGAGGGCTAATGACGTATGTGAGAGATGATAGAAGAGAGGAACAACGTCACATCACAGGATTCACAAGTTTGTCAAGTGATCAACCTGAAAATTTCTTGGCTCAGGATCACAGCCTCTCCCTTCTTTTTGTTAGTGACCTCAGTTACTCATGGATGTCAAGGCAGACTAACTAAATAATGAAATCCAGTAGAGCGAAAAGCAGCTGGAAGACATGTAACATAATCAAAGTAAGCAGACATCTTTGTATATTTTAGAGTATGAGTTTTCAAAATGTTTTCACTGTACCTTGTAATACGAAACTTTTTTTTAAAATGGCCTTGTTCTGGCTTTATTTGATCTATGCAGTGAAGAGTGACAGGAAAGCAGACAGAGAGCGGAAAACGAATTTCCACGGGTCAGATTCAAACGCAGACTCCTCTAAACCATGTGGCAGCCTGCTCATCCCAGTAAGCTAAACCAGCAACCCAATACAGAACTTGTAAACAAAGTGATATAGTCTGATAATATGCTGTTAGCTCAAAGCATCACAGGTAAATTTCCTCATATTTTTCCAAGTAACTGAAAACTTATGAAATCAATATTATCAAGTGCAAAATTATAATATTTAACAAACTGGATGGCTCCATACTTTGCTTTTAGTCTGTATAGTGGGAAAAAAACAGCATTTTTATATTTCCATTCTAATAGTATTTTTACTATTAGAGATATTTGTCTCTACATATATACCACACTCATTTGTCAAAAATGAGGACTGATAATGCATTCAAATTTAACTCCTTTCTCATATTTTCAAATTACAGTTTTCTTGAAGAGTTAAAAAAATAAGGAGAAAGAAACAAAGAAACAAGAACAAGACATTAAGAATATTGGTCCAGCTTAACAATTGTTTTATGTATTTTATGCATTGCTACATCAACTCAATAAGCAGTTTACTTATTAAATCATTAAGTAGGCTAAAGGTTTAGTGCTATTGTCAGCTAAAAAAAATATCTAAAAACAGTAAATCTTTTCTTGAAATTCCATTGTCTCCGGTTAAGCCTTTAAAGTTCTATGGCATCGTAAAAAAATTATTGGAAATATTTGATTGATTGATTGAATCTTTATTTTGAACATGTTGAAAAAGTATAAAAAAAA